AGCATTGAGACCAATGAACTACGATGGAGTTTACTTCAGACTGGATGGTTCAGTTACAAGCGAATGACCCAACCTGTATAGAATAACTTCTGGCTCACATGATTGTATTGAGTTTTATAGTCTTCATCTACAAAGATGGTATGAGTTAACCTACTGGTAAAGCGTCTGATGTATTCCCATATGTTGGTGTAGCTTGAGAGACTCAACCTCTTTTCCACCAAGAATATGGAAGGACAGATCTGATCAGTAGTCTTCCCTGCAAGAAAATTGATCTGTTACGAATGGGAAATTGGTAGAGTTTCAGTCAATAATTCATTTTTCAAGTAGATTCAATCCACACTGGAAAAAACACTGCACGTCTGTTTGATGCTTATTTGAAGTTATCAACAGTGTGAATCTTGGGAGAGAGAGAGAGAGGTTCGAACCCGGGCTAGCGGATGAAGACCGTGCCATCGGTCATGACGAACTTGTCAGATACACCCAACAGCTGAGGTGTGTTTGGACAGTGACTGTGCTGATATTGTTCACAGCCGCATTGGGACAAGAACTAATGGAGAAAGAGACGCGCACAAACGAAATGGGTGTTTGAATGAGTTGTTTCCTTACGGACTTCTTCGTCCTTTCATTTCAGAAAAACTCAATCCAACCGCGTTGCCCCATCAAGCAATGAACGAAGAAAGGTGATTTCCAATGGCAATAAAGAATAGAGGATTGCCTCACTGAGTTAGGCCTTCCTCATGCGTAAACTGGTGTGAAGGACAGATGGTGAATCTGCTTGTAATCAAAAAGTGCATGACTACCTCTCATCCCGAAGAGTGGATATTACGGCAAAAGGTCCTTTCAAGCCACTCTTCCGAGGGATGTCGCAATGAACCATGTTCCATTAGGTACTATTCTTTGCTCTTTTAAAAAGGCTGCCTCTTTTAGAAAAATATTCTCTCTGGAGGGTATTGCACTGACAGGGGAAAGTTAACTACAAAGTTCAAAGAACAGTACAGCAGTGTAGGTGATTACCACTACAGACCTAGCAAATAGAGTATAGTGTAAGCGTCTCCTTCACCCCTTCGTCTACTGGCAAAATAATGGCCTAGAAACACTTAAATCCAATGCAATTATTCACTTACTGGTACCAGCAGCCTATCGAACTGCAGCCCAGTGTATGCAAATCGGGATGTTGTATTTCTAACTCAAATAATTGCTCGTTCCGAATTCGCGCGCACCACGAATGGTTCATTATCATAGTGAATGCACTGCGTGCCGCACTGGTCACTGGACCGTTGTCCGTATTCATCCGATACCGCCCACTGATTGACTGACATGCGAGGTTCAACCACAAAACTCGTGGACGATGGCATCTTGACTAAACTGAGGGTGGAGACCAATAAACTCACTCGCAAAGCAGCGTTCCCAGGACAACCATCCAGTGGAGTTTTGGCGCTTATAATATCCCTCCTGTTTGTGAGGTATGGATTCGTTGTGACCAGTTTTGCGTGAGTGACGTCCACTGGGGCTTTGTGTAATCTAACTGAGCATGAGTAGAATCGTCCGTAGCTAATTACTCAACAACTAAATTACCGAACTTGATAACGGCCAAGAGTTTCCAACCATGGTCAACTCCCATGAGCTTTGTGTTTTAAAAGCAGACAGTGACATGTTGCTGTGTATCCCGATCAACTATACCCGCATCCCCATCTGCCTGGAATTTTTTAGGCAACCCAAAATGAGTTGTGGTCGACAAATTTCCATATCTGTCGCATGCAAGCAACCATAACGCTTTGTTTTTATTTTTTTTTCTCTGTTAGGCTCACGAGCATACCGTACGAAGCAAGTTTTCTCTACGGGATATCCACATGGATACCAATATGGAACTGGTACCAAGATTATTATCATCATTGCACCGAGCGCGGTTTGAAGCTTGTTAGAACGAGAAAACACAAGTTTTGAGTAGGTTTGGACACGGCAGACAGTCTTTTTGTCCCCAGAATGTTTTGCTTGCTAACAGTCGTGGTTAGAAATTGATTTTTTCAAATCTGGGTTTGTAGTTAACCCCTCAATGGAGGATCCCTGAATGAGATAAATTCCATAAGAAGCTACTAGAAATACCCAGAAGGGTCAGTGAAACCTCACAGAGTGGAACAAGATTGTGGAAACCCAAAACGTTTCACAGAATAGACAGCGATGTTTCATAGGACGGCAATTTACTTATAAATCTGTTCTGTTTCGTTAGTTGTTGGGAGATGCGCTCAGATCTTCATGGCGTTTGTGCAACACAGTTTGGTCGGTCAATCTGATCGATCATCAGATCCGTGTTGTTCACTTGCCATGTATGGGTTCGTTTTGCATTTCTCTATCGGTGATGAACTTTACTGGCAATAAAGGGAGCTAATAGACAAGGATTATTACAAGAAGCTTGGCCTATGTGTCACATATGGCTTGCCTTTGGTGAAGGAAGAAAGAAAGAAAGCGTTCAGCTGTAGCACCCTTTCGGTGCCTAGCTGCCATGCCACCTGAAGGAAGCACGAGGGCTGGGATACTGCCAGATTGCCCAAGCCTAGACAGGGGAAATCGAGTGGCGGAGGTCGGATTCGAACCACGGACTTTCCGGTCAGTAAATTCGCGCTCTAACCACTTGGGCCATCTCGCCCCAAGGTGAAGGAGACAGCCGACTCGGGTAGACATCACTATGCCATTAATCTAGTCTATTAATCTGTGACTTACTGCGAATGACTGAATTAGTTCAGTGGTGTGGATTAGGGTATCGTGTCCGATAACTTAGTTTCTTCAGAAAAAAGCTCCCTATCTTTGAAGACACATCCAAGTTTCAAAAGAAGACCCTAGACTACTGAAATATTATTAGCAACAGTTTTGTTAACTTTGCCGTTTTGTGTGTACCATAAGACAATGATGCAAATCATTCTAGGGTCTCTAACAAGCTGTAAGGCCATCATCCGGTTTGGGGGAATGTAACGTTGGACGGAATTTACTTGATCGTCGAATTGAGGTTTCGTCCTGTTAGTGTAGACATGTCTCAATGCCCAGAAGCTCTGTACAGCCGTCCTGTCCTTGTTAGGAAATCATCACCAGTGGGCCTCTCATAGACATGCCACAGAGCCCATCTCCAGAAAGACCGAATTTTCACTATTCGTAACCTTGATTATTAGTAGACATTTTGTTACAATTCTCACCTCTCAATCATGCAGCAGGTGTGGAAACCTCCTTTAAAAATAAAATTATGTATATAGGAATAATTTAGTTGCCATCATTACAGATAGTGGTGCTCACATAAGTGAACACACCTTTGAGGAGCCGAAAAGGATGTGTGAACTTTCGCCAGACACACTCATTTGCATACTAATTTGGTTTCCAAGAGAGACTCACCTAAAACTCCGCAGTCTCTCGTTTTTGATACCCTTCTGATTTTGTGAAACTTGGTTTTGAGTAAAACATAAGGCTGACAGAAACTCGGAGGCTGTATCTATCTGGTGAACCCCATGAAGGGCGAAACCGGTCGTGGGCTGTTGAGGAGTTTTCAGCAACCCTGTGAGTGGTTTCCTTCGTGAAAATATACTGCGATATCTCGAATATCGTACCAACTGAAACATGAGGCGGTCTGTGTGCAGTACATTCAATTGAAAAGGTTCATAAACGTAGGATTCTCTTGAGTCTCCTGTGATAACTGAATTGATTTACAAATGAGTGGACACATTTTCGAGAACGTACCGGTTTTACTTGGTGTCGATAAAGTGCGTTTTTGGGAAGAACCATTGTGCGGGGAAGTTTGGAAAATAACCGTTACAGTTCAAGGAAAACACGCCAGCTAATACATCATTAGAAATAGAGAGCTGCCTGAGAAAATGGCTCAAAGTCAATAGGTACGCAGGTGAGTTAAAGTGACTTAATTACTTGCAAGTAGTATACAGGCCGGTCAGAATTCACCCAACGACCGAACTAGGTATTTCTTTGCTTGATGCTCCTCGTGCGTTTGCTTACACCCTTAGTTTCAAGCTGTCTGGCTTTTGTGATCCAATCAGAGTTTACTTATGGGGTTGAACAAATTATTCTTCGGTCTTTTGACAGGTAGGAAAAAGTAACACGACTGAGCCCGTCATGCGACAACCATTTGATGATTTTGTTGACATGAATTAAACTAATATTTATCATACGTATAAGGCTTGTTGATACAAGGAGATGGTGTGCCACGAGAGGAGTGGAATCAAAAGGAAAGTCATTGATGAACTAGTGACTGTTCTAGGTCCCACCCACCCGCAAATTGATGAGGCCATCAGCCTTACAAAAACCATACAAAGCACACCAAAATAGATGTGCTGTCCAGAAAAACAACGAAGCAACGTAGTGGACAGAACAACCGACCAAAACGTCCCTAGGTTTGGGAGCGAAAATTCCCCAACCAAGCGACTGTATCGTGGCTTGAACTAAACGAGAACACGCTGATGAATCTGGTGAATTTGGATCAACTGTTGTTATCCGCTGGGACAGGTCCACTTTTAATTGTGACCGCAAAGCATCGTTCGGCAATCGCTTGCGCTCTATAAGGGACCTATACAGATCATTCATTTGGGACTGTCTTTCCACCGGGGAATAGAATCGTCTTCTATAAGTGGTCAGTTTGGTTTCACTGTTTAGATTGGCATATCCACAACTCGGCGAGGTCACACAATGAGTGGAATCTCGAAATCATTTTGGGGTCGTGTTCTAAAACTAAACGGGCTACGTAAGTGAAAAAACTACCGAAGAAATGGGGCGGACGTTTTCTCGTCCAACTCCTGGAGCAGACCTCATGTTTTTGTAGCGTAATTTTGTTGCTGCTTGTTTTAAGTCCAAATGGTTTCGAGGTTTACGGTAGACTAGGTGTTGATCTGCTTCGAGTGAACAGTTTGAATTGCGAATGTTGGTTAGGTCTACTGGATATTTCGCGTTTTGAAAAAGTGCTTGGCATTTCCACTGTTGTAATTTCTATCTATAACACAATATAACTCACGTTGTTTTGGAAGGTTGAGAATTACTTTCTTTCCGTTGGGCAATGAGCTGCCACCATATCCGGTGTTACGTGGTGTGCCACTGTCGTCGGCCATATCGATTGGGAACTTGCCATTATCCACGCGTCTGTGGGGAGTGTATACGTTAGACTTGTCATCCGACTTGCGTTGTATGCCATCAGCGGGATCACCTTCATTGCTTTCAGCCCCGGTGTTTGGTCTGTCATGCCACACCAAGTCCTCAGTACTGTGATTTTGTACAAGTTCTTGTAAAAAGTGTATGTAACCAATGGCAAGTCGCAAGGTATCCACTTTGGAGAGTCGTTTTTCATACGGAAGTGTTGGAATGTGAGCTCGGAGTCCTGATTCATGAGAAATTGTGAAGGAGTTTTGTAACAAGATCAGGTGCATACCTAATGCCCTACTCATAAGGTTACTGAAAATTCTTCAACAGCCCACCACCGGTTTCGCTCTTATGAGGACTCATCAGATAGACGAAGTCCCCGGGTTTCCGTCAACCTTATGTTCTACTTGAAACCAAATTAGACTGATTGTGACAAATGCACTCATTTTCAAACAAATTTGGTTTTTCGAGAGACTCACCTGGAACCCAGCTGAATCCTTCGTTTGTGACGTTTCAAGGCAACTGAATGTGCTCCAACAGGCCGCCTCGTGTTTCAGTTGCTACGATATTCAAGACATCGCGGTACATAGTTCCAGGTGAGTCCCTCACGAAACCAAATTTGTTTGCAAATGTGTGTACTTCGCTAAGATCAGGGACACTTTGTGTCTACGTAGGCGTAAGCCGCGGGAACACGATTGGCGCATGGTGCGGTCCTATTCGCAGTATGATGAAAATTTATTAGGATACTGGGGAATTAAGTGATTTTTGACTACCTTTATCTGTCCTGTTAGGAACCGTCTTTTTCTTGGGATCAGCTTGACTTCCAAAATAAGCGATCCGGTTTTCACAGTGTTTTCACTTGCATGGTGGCTCAAATACTGATCAACAGTTTTGAAATATAGCCACACCTTTTTAAGTGGGGATAAAGCAGCATTTTTAGGCCACGGTGCTGAATGAAGGTACATGTATATTTCAAGGGAACACTACTTATATGGTTGCTGAAGACCCTTTGACCAACAACGACTAGTTTCGCTCTCTTTGGGGTCCATTGGGTGAGTGCAGTGCCCGGATTTCTACTTGAACCCCAATTGGACGGAATGCACCAAATACTCATATTGGCATACCAGTTCTGTTTCAATCCAAGCTCAATCTCTCGTTTATGATAATCGTCAACTAAATATACTGCAAAAAGGCTACCTTCGGTTTCTTTCAGTAAGATATTCAAGATATCACAATGGAGTTCTTTGAATGAGCACGGTAGGTAAATGAGTGCACTTGGCGAATGATGCCCTATTTGGGTTCAGGTAGAGTACAAGATTGACGTAGACTGTGCCCCGTGATGAGCCCTAAGAACTACAAAACCGGTCACGGGCTGTCGAAGAGTTTTCAGCAACCCTTTACAAAACTATACTGAGATATATCGAACTGATGTCGTACGAACTGAAATATGAACCGGCATTTGTGCTGCACCGAACATTTTGAGTTCGGGACAAGGGACCTACCTCATAAGACATGCTGCGTCGTCGGTCTGCCACCGCTTGGTCTTTGGACTTCATTAGAGGATTTGCAAGCCTACTACTAGCATTTGCAACGTAAAATGATTTCATCTAGGAGGGGTTTTATCGCGGCCAATTAGGTGCTGGTCTGGTGTGAGTGAAAGCAGTCACTAGATCGGTCTTTGCTGTTGATTTTGGTTAAAATCGAAAGCGTTATGTAATGCGTTTCGACCTCTTTCCACTATGTAATAACTTTACTCTGTTCATCTGAAGTCTATTCGGCGCTTTGCGGGCTCTAGGAGACGGCAGATCACGCCAACTGAGGCCTCTTTAGAAAGCTAGTGTTTATGATGGTGTATAACCAAAGATTTTTTCCCATCTACAGCTGCCTATGAGAATAACAACACGTCCTAATCGTACACTTTAGCGGTCTGTCACGGCTTTCACTCCCACGACATGTGATTGCAAGTGTTCCATTTTAAAAACTGAATAAATCCTATAATTGATGGATTTGCCCCGAATGGTTCGCTGAACCTTGTACGAAATGTAGCAAGTTAATCTCTCCAAGTTTTAACGGCTTGTCAAACCTTGTCTTGAAAAATTCTCCCACCCCCCCCCAGTTTGTCTCCAAAGGTAGGTCTTGCAGTCCTATAGAAAGCTCCAAAAACACCCTCCATCTGTCCTTAGTTGGACACACAGGTCGACATTTGAAGAAATTCTGAAAGGAGGTAGACAAGCATTGTTTCGCGCGGTAAACTTTAAAGTTGTTCACACTTTGGCTAAATCACCCCAAGCTTCGAGCAGTCCACATTGGTACAGCTCTCAAGACAATTGACCCGGGTGGCACCATCTGAGCTAGGCGTGAGTAGCGGCGGTATGATTCGAACTGATAACAAAAAAACGACTCAGAAAGATTATACGACTAGAATTTGGTACACCTTTTTCACTAGATCTCAACAGTTTCGTAAATTTGCTTGGCTTTTAGCTCGTAAAGAATGAGAATGATAGCTAATAAGTCCGATGACAGTGAAACTAGTAGTTCCTGTAAAAACCCACCTTCGAATGCTTTGTTGATAGACTGCATCCGCCGCCGTTCACGTAGATTCGCTGCCTGACGCTGAAATATTTGTACACCGGGAACGCGTTTCCGATTGTGGAAACCGCGTAGACGCGCACGCTTCAGCTGGCGAAAGGTGACTTCACGTTTTACGTCACTGAGTGCTCGACGGCTTGAGTTGTGATTAAATTTGGTTCTCACATCTTCGGTCTCCAGCTCACTGTCGCTGATATTTGGGCACACACTGCCCTCGGTCAAAAAAGAGGCTGTATCGCTGGGCGATCCGAACGAATTCATCTCGGGTACCAGTCCCATAGAATGCAAGTCCGTTTCCGGTGTTATGCTGCCTAGCGGAAAACGAGTTCCCCGGTGCAGATCATGTTGGGATCTTAACTGAACATCACAACTGAGTGATGAGAATCGTGGAGAGTTTGTCAACAGATTGGACTGTCCGTCTGAACAGTAAGAAGTATCCAATAGCGATTGAAATTCCGGGTTCCCCGTCAGTGCCAGTGGCAAGCAGTGCATAAGTTGTCGTGCCTCAACAAGCAGAGATGTAGTAGTCGTGGCGCCTGGCAAGTGGACACCCCAAGACACGGTTTGGTCATTCTGCAGCCGAGTAACTGGGAACATGTCACCACCATACTTGTCTAAGCTCGAATACTTGGGGAAGTAGTACGGATAATGGCAGGTTGGTTGTGTCATGCTTTCACCTGTAACCATAAGAACGATTTTATTCACTCTTGAGTTTCCAGGGGAAAGCAGTGAAATAAACATGGAATTTCAGTATGTCAGATGGCAATGTTCCCCTAGGTTATAACTCATTATGAGTAGCTGAGACACGACACTTCATCGTCGGTAGCTGAACTTAGTTTACTTGTCTTCTGACATGCAAGCACACGACATTATCAATAGAACAACAGGCATGATGTCACTCTATCCACACATTATGCATAAGGAAGCGTGCGAACGCTGCCGACAAGAGTTACGCTTCGGTGTTCAGGGTAGACAAATGTGAAAAGACTCAGTGTGCCCTTCAAAGAAGACCCTTCCGGAAGGGAGACTGAATCCTCACCTTGGAGATTGAGCACATTCAAAATTTCGGCAAACTCAAAGTAATTTGGATTCAACTTTCGCTCTAGACAGCGGGCCCAGCAGAATTTCGACAGCTGACGGTAATCACGTGACACCTCAGACGCAGTTAGTCAATTCGTTGAATGGCAAATTCAACCGAGCACTCTCAAAATTATGATTATTCCTAGAAAGCTTTAGGTTTTACTGGCGTTGCAGAACTACGTGTTAGGTAAAAAGAGGCAACTGGATCGAATTGAAGTGGAATAGTAGTGGAATAGTTGAAATACGCTCAGCTTCAAATCACATTGGTATCAACCAGAAACTCGGCTGAAGCTCGTGTTTATGATATTCTTCAACTGAGTGCGTTGTACAAAGACTGGCTCGTGTTTCACTTGGCATGCTATCTATACTCTTGGCAACAAACTACCTCTAATGTTGCCGAGAACTCTTCGACGGCCCATCACCGGTTTTCCCATCTTGGGACTTATCAGGTAGGCTAAGTGTCTGAGTTTCCATAAACTTTGTGTTCTGCTTGAACGCCAAGCTGTACGCCACAGGCGAAATACACCTATTTGTAACTTACTTTGGGGACTCATCTGAACCCCTCTGTTATGGAACTCTTTAACTGAATGTAGAATACAAGTTTGGTGAGAGCGTACGGATTACTCTTACCTGCTAAGCAACAAGAAAGATGAAACCGGTAGCGAAATGTCCTTAATTTTTAAGCATATCCTCATGTCAGGAAACTGCACGATGGTTCCAAGCAAGGATAGACCAGCAGTATAGGTCAGCACTGATTGGGTTCACTGACAGGATGAAATCTCCACTGCAGGTGCACTTGGCATAAACTGTGCATGTTCGCATCCCAGATTAAGATACCGATGGACTTTTCGCTTAGTTCGATGAAATTCTATTACAAATCTGTTCACTTGTGCCAAATTTGTGTGCTACGTAGCAGCCACTGATAGACTTTGTTTTCAGCGGAGTGTTCGTGCCACAATTTTGCATCCTGAAACCATTAGTTAGTGGAACCGCCTACTCGGATGGTTTCTTCCTGCTGGATTCCCCTACCTCCCCGAAGAAAGTGAATTTTTATCATCACTTAATCAGCCTTTTTGTAACCAGAGCGTGCTCTCCGGATATAACAAGCTCATCACACCGTTCACCTGGTCTGATGTTTTATAGCCCCATTTTCTTGCCGTCTGAACAACAAAGTTGGTCACTGCGATTCAACGTCACTTAGTGGTTCCTGAACCCCCCTCCCCATCAGGGAGGCGCAGTCAGTCTTATTTTTCACTTGATTCCATAGGGGACTTGGTCAAGGGTGTTCTTCAGACAAAAAGGTAGTTTCATCCAACAGGCGATCTTTGTGGAGGTAAGTCTAAGAAACGCATTATTGCCGTTTACGGAACACCACGCTTTGCGAAAACATAGCTATTTAGAGAGGCGCTTTCGCCTGATGGTGAGCTCTTCAGATGAGGCCCCCTAAATTTGTACTAACTCAAAGTAGGGAAAGGACTAGATTTTTATCTGATCCACCCGAGTCAAACGAAAGAAGTATTATATATCTTTATGATGTACTACTCATAAGGTTGCTGAAAATCTGTCGACAGCCCACCACCGATTTCGCCCTTTTGGGGCTCATCAAGTAGGCGCAGTCCGCGGGCTTCCGTTAACCTTATGTTCTACTGCCTGAAAACATCACAAACGAGAGATTCAGCTGGGTTTTCCAGGTGAGTCTCTCGAAAAACCAAATTAGTTTGCGGAAGAAGTATTGATTTATTTTGTTGAATGAGTAGTGTGAAGTGTGTTCTAGCCGGCTGAAATTACAAAAAAATTAAAACTGAAGTAGAGTTCTGACAAAGACAGTACCTTAACGGAAGTGGTAACACCCATGTGCTTTATTTACCGAAATCCAATGTACGAAGTTTTTTCTCGTCAGTGAACTCCCAAGCTCTCATAAATGGTTTTCTCACAGTGCGTTGATGAATTGCCGGATAACCTTTGTTCGTTTTCGATCATTCTGATTTCTTATAATTTTCAGGTAATATACGAAAACATTTCGGAAGTGGTGTAACAAGGGAATCTACTCATTTTCAATCTCATTGTAGCAATATTGAATGCCTATACCTGACATTGATTGATGGTCAACATTGAACTAAACGGTAGCCTTCAACGAAGCTGCTAGAAGGGTGAGTCAGAGGTGCTTGTCAGACTTGTGGCATTTATCGCAAAAGCAATGATTTGCCTCACTCGATCGATCACCCGCATGACATTCGGTCAGAGTTTTTCAAATGTTTCAATCTATGACCGTCTTAGCTGTCTGCCTCATCAATTAGAGTACTACTTCTTTCAAAGAGAGGTACCCGCATGACATTCGTTCAGAGTTTTTCAAATGTTTCAATCTATGACCACCTTAGCTGTCTGCCTCATCAATTAGAGTACTACGTCTTTCAAAGAGAGGTCATCACCTCCACCAATGGGGAATAAGCACCAAGATTTTATATCAGCCGGTATGATTTAGTTCGATCTCGTCGAAAAGAGACTATGCCTCAGCGGTGGCCCAACCACGTGACAATCTGTACACAAAAATGCTGGCTATTGGACGAGAACCAGCTCTCAAATGTCGAGCGGGCAGCCACTCGTTCAAAAGTGAAGATCCTCAAGATGGAGACTGGGAGGACTATTTTAACAGTCTAAAAGAAACATGCTCACAATATTTTTTTAAAAATGCTCCACGGGGTAGGTTTATCGGAAAAAAATCGTTTTATTCGGCAAGTCAGGAGAACTTACACACATGAATGAATGCGTACATAAACAGGTGTAAATAGTTTAGCAACGTGCTTCTACTGGTCTACGCCTGCTGAAAACCAAGAACCCATGAGCCCATTATATTAGGGGCTGTATGTGGATAGTGTCAAAGCTGGTGAGACCGAAGAAAGGCAACGCCGTGGCGTGGTAACAGAGGAAAATACTCTAATATCTTGCATATCGTCCCAACATATTCAGCTGGAGATTCTGCTGAGGGAAAGCAGACTTCGCAACAGAATATCAAGATAGCCAAATACTCTAATATCTTGCATATCGTCCCAACATATTCAGCTGGAGATTCTGCTGACTTTGTTTTGAATCTCCAATTAACACTGAGGGAAAGTAGACTTCGCAACAGAATATCAAGATAGCCTGTGTATTGTGGAATATCAGTATGTCTTTCAATTCAGAGGGCTTCATCGAGTCTTCAATCCCAACAATTCTAGCATGATTAGGGCCTCAAAGTGACCTTCAAGTCAGGTATCACCTACCCCAGTTTCCGGGGGGGCACCCACAATTGATGAGTCCCAAACAAAACAAGACCTGGATGTTTGCGTATTTTGAGCAATCATACCGTACAACTGATATCAAACCTAATGCAGTCAAGCCCCTTAAAAACTTAAACTCTTCTGTTGTTGAGGGAAATTTTTGTGACACAGGTTAACTGTGTAGTTTTCGACGAACTGGGCGGTCAGGTTGTGAACGTTTCAACGCCAATCAGGAAAACTTCGTCAGCGCGTTGCTGTGAATCGAAGAGATGTGCTCAGTCCGTGCACAGTGAGCATTCTTCAACGGTATCCATCATCTCATTCAGACAGCGATCTTCCTACTCTCCGCACCATTTGCTGGTCAACCACACAGGTAAATCGTCTTTCTTCCCCCTAAAAAAAAATCGTTCACTGTGTTCGGTTTGACTGAAAACTCGCAGAAAATAAATTGTCACATGTTCTCAAAACACCCTTGACTAACACACGTGTTGAACTGCATCATTGTTTTAACTCGTTAGAACTGACGTCTTTGAATGGTGTTTGCTCTCTAACATTAACAGTGCTGCTGCTTTCTTGGTTCATCAAGCGTCAGCTGCTACCCTACTCCCAGAGCCCTATCAAATTCTCACGCCGAATCCGTTCGTATTTCGCCGCCTATCTATCTACCTACCTTTCGTGCAAGTTGGCGGTCGGTTGGTAAACACAGTGATAGACGAGAGCATCACTCACTGACCATGAGATGCACCCGCACTTTATGAGGAAAGATAACTTATCTTCCCTGCCCTGCCTTGTGGCCCAGCAATAGTTCCACGCAGACATCCACCGAATGCGTCAACAATAGATTTCGTTGTAGGCATACACACAAACATGCGTTCGGTAAAGCGTACACACACACACACACACACACCACGCCTCCCCTCTCAATGCTTCCAAATAGGGTGGGGCATGGGAGTTCCGACAGTTTAGTTTTTTCTTCCTCAAAACAGGTGCGCGAAATTCTCATGTCCGACCACGTGTTATGTCGTCAAACCACCACGGGGTAGATTATTCGTCCGTGAAGAAAAAATAAAGAGAAAATATTGATAAACTATGTATGTTTTCTTACGTTTCGGCCACTGACAGCCCGATGGGAGAGACGACGGGTTGATTATGAAGTCTAATTACCGTGAACGTCAACAGTGACCCGGTCTTTCTGAGTTCGTCATCGGCCTGAACAGCACAGTGAGGCTTGTTGAAATTTGACGGTACCAGCAACTCCGGGTGACAAGGGGATGTAACGTTGGGCACTATTCAACAGGGTGTTCAGACAAGTCGGAGACAGGACGTTGAACA